CGGGGTCAGTGAGGGGGGAATGGCGCGGTCAGTGAGGGGGGAATGGCGGGGTCAGTGAGGGGGGAATGGCGCGGCCCATGGGCACGGCAGGGCGGGGGAGCGCTCCACAGGCACGGCGGTACGCTGCCAGCCCGCCGACAGGGTCTGATCCAGCTCGCGGCCTCCGCCGCTGCTCGCTACCTGTGGATTGCAGGCTTGGCCTTCCCAGCGTGCCAGAAAGCTCAGGACCTTTACGTTTCCTTCCCTTACAGCACAGCACTCTGGAAGCGGGAGGTAAATCTCCGTAACCTCTTTGGAGTGACCTCTCTCTCCCTTGTGGATGTAGTACATGCTTTAAGGCTGGTGCTCAGGTGCCGGGGCTGTGTACATAAATTACAGAAATGGATGCTGCCAGCTCTAATCCCAGTTTTGCAGGGGCGCTCCACAGCCCTTCCCGGGGCTAAACACTCCGTTCTGGACTAAACTCTTTCTCTACTGGCAGCTTCCTTCCAACCTCACTCCAAATGGAGCGCTGAGATTTTCTCCAAGTTTAATCCTAAACTGAGCCTTAGGAAGGACAGAGCAGCACTTCCCTGAAGTATCAAATCCCCAAATTGGAACCAAATTTTGATTTGGGAGCCCCTTTCCAGTTCCACTCCAGCCACAGCTCTGTCGTTTCTTTCAGCCTTTACACTACGTGTGGCCGTAGTTCTTCACTGCCAAGTAAAACACTGAAGAGTCTTGAGCAGGATCAAAGACAAATATAATAAAAAAAATGTGTTGAATATAGAATTAAGTCCAGAAATAGAATGAGAGTTACAGATACACTTTTGAGAATTGTGAGATTAGCCTTTCTGTATCTCAGAGCCTCCTTGTTTAAACTGTAAGAAAGGAAATACAGTGACCTGCCAGTTCACAAAATGAAAGCCAAGAGAGATCAGATATGGAAGAGGTCTGAAAGTGCACCAGCATGTAAGATCTTGGGGAAGAATCTGAATTTAGAAGCATGAAGCAGAAGAATACATGACAGAAGGGTGTAAATTCCATCAGAAGAGGCCAGACCTACCGGGGTTTGAGATCTAATTCTTTCTTACTCTGACACTTGTTTGCTTTCTGTTGGAGTAAGTGAATCCAGATCTTTGGTGTCTATTGTACTGAGGTCTCCTACAACTCAAGAAAAAAAGTCTGTTTCAGCCCATGAATATGTTGTTTATTTAGAGACTTGTAGTGCTTATTTCAGAGTTTGTAACACTCTATAATTGTTAGGTACTAAAAGATTCATTATAATAATTAATATTTAAATTTATAATTAAGTTATTAATAGTAATAATTTATGCAAGGAATCAAACTTATCTCTTTTACTACAGCTTATAATCATGTAAAGAACTCTCCTGAGACTTTCAAATAAGACACTCATCCCAGTTTTTCCCGAAACTGTTTCTTAAATAGATAATTTTGTTAGAAGCAACCCAAATCTACACAGGGCCCACCCGGCAGCAAACTCAGCTGTTGGAGCCTTCCCACCGAAATTTGCCTGCTAAGAGATACTGCTTTCCTCCTCGATGGTGAACGCCTGTAAATGCTCTCGCTGGCCAAATGTGTGAGCGGGTGTTGGGGGCAGCGACCCCTGAGGTCCTGAGGAGTTTCTCGGCTGGAAGCAGCAGGTTGGATCCTGTCTGGGGTGCTCCCGCAGCTCTCTCTAGGGCAGGAAGGCCATGGCTCCGGTCCCTGTGCCAGCCGGCGACGCTGCAGAGCGCCGAGCTGAGCAGCACCTGGAGCTCCTGCCGACAAGAGCAGGGATAACAGCAGGACAGAGAGGCTTGGCGGGGAGACGGCAGTCAAATGCTCACTTAAAAACTCCGGAGCACTCACATTTTAACTCCGGAGCACTGCCCCTTCGTGGGACCGTGTTGAAACGCTCTGTGGTCTGGTGCTGTTCAGCGCCTTTGTTCACGGCATGGATGATGGCACAGAGGTGCCCTCAGGTTTGCAGTGGTACAGACCTCGAAGGGGTGGTTGCTGCACCAGGTGGTTGTGGCGCCATCCAGGGGGAAGTCGACTGGCTGGAGAATTGGGCAAACAGGAATGTCGTGCACTTGAGCAGAAGTAAGTGCAAAGCCCTGCACCTGGGGAGGAGCAGTCCCATGCACCAGCACGGACTGGGGCTCTCCAGCTGGAGAGTAGAAAGATGCAGGCACACTAGAGAGAGTCCACAGGGACGATTGGCTGCCAAGGACAGGCTGAGAAAGGTGGGGCTGCTCCATCAGAAGACAGGGCTCAGGGCACTTTATCAGTGTGTGTAAATAGCTGATGGCAGGGAGCAAAGGAGCCAGACTCATCTCTGTGATTTCTGGTGACAGGACAATAGGCAATGGACCTGAACTGGAATACAAGACTTTTTTTTTTTTTAAGTAAGAATTTTTTAGTGATTTTTTTCTTATTTTTTTTTACTGTAGGGGTGGTTGAACAGTGGAACAGGTTGCTCAGAGCACTGTGGAATCCTATGGAGATTTTCAGAAGCTGACTAGACATAGGCCTGAGCAACCTGCTTGTGCAGGAGGGTTGGCCCAGAACATCTCCAGATGCCAACCTCAGCAGGAATCTACAAAGTAGTAATACAAAGTATAGTTGATTCCTGAAGGATCTGAAGCACTTTTGGCTTTTTTAGGACTGATATGCACTAATAAGAGGCTTTTGGAAACAGTAAATAGCAGTTAAAATGAAATTATTTTCAAAGCAACAAAAATAATAGTAATAAAAAAGAAACTTTGTGAAGATAATGTTTTTGAAAATAGGTGAACAATTCCTCAGTAGTTAATAAACAGGAAAACTTGTACTGAAAATTTTTACTTGTAGGTGAACATTTCTTAAAATTTTTTTAGGCCACGTTTTCAACAACATGTTTTGGATATTTTGGAGATCTTACATTTCTCTAGAGAAGGTCAAATAGAGTTTGATATTAGAGGGTTAACTTCTAATTAGAAATTCTGCATGATCAGAAAGTGCCATTATGAGGGGACTTGGGTATCCTGAGGGAAGTGTGAAGTCAGGCTCCAGACCCTGCCTCTCCTCCAGGCAGGAACCAGGTGAGGAACAGCCCTTCTTCACCTGCCTCCCAGCCCTGCTAGTTCCCAGCAGTGACATTCCCATCAATGGCAGATGCCAGGGCTTAAGGGATGGTGGTCACCAACTGCCATGCCCAAGGGGAAGGCTGATCTGACTCCAGAAGAGACTCGTCCAAGCTCTGTTCCCCATGTCCTGTAGGAGAAATATCATGTGTTTACAAAAAAATGAAGTCAGCCTGTTCTTAGAGATAAATAGTTTCTGAAGGGATTTTGTTGCCTTGCCCTGGAAGCGAGGATCACAAATAATGCCGTGATCTTCCAGGAAACACCACAGGATGTATTTTCAACCATGCACCCTGCCTTGCCACCCACCTGCATTGGAACAGAAAACCACACTCACATAAAGCCCTCTGCAATCCTGGGAAGCCAGGGGAGCCACAACAAGCCCATTATTGTGCTAATAAATAGGGTCTATGTCAGTTTTGAAGCTTACACTTTTAACTTGGCAGCTCTGGCACCCTCCTGCACAAAGGAAACATCTCAGTCATTCACATGGCTGTGCTCATCAGCAGGAAATAAATAAATCTGTGCTTAGCATCATTCCTCCTTAGGGTAAACATTGCCACTGAAGTTTTCAAATTAGAGCTGAAGAAAAATATTTTGAAGATTTTCTGGCTGTGCTGACTCCAGCACTCCGCATATCTCTCCCAGCAGATTACAGGGGTCTTTTGGACTTAATCTCTTCTGGTATTCATGTGACAAATCAATATTCATTAAGTGCTATGTTCTTACTTTAGATTAGGTATCATTAAACACTGCAGTGTGGAGAGGATTTGGGGAGACAGTACTGATGACTTTCTTAAAGGCTGGCAAAAAGGAAAAAAACCATTAAATAGAGTATTACTTTACCATGGAAGAAAAAGTCCTTCCATGTAGGAATTAATGCAACAAGAGCAGGCTGGGATGTGACAGAAGTGAAGCATATTTTTTACAGGTGTGATAATTTTCAGAGTCTTGGGGTATTTGGCCAGCTCTCAAAACATCTCAAAGAGACAGCAGCCTCATTTCAGTGGTACTGAGCTGTGCTGGCTCTGAGGTGTCTTCCCTCCTTTTGTTACGAAGTTTTCACCTTGCTCGTTTTAAAAAGCATTGCACTGAGATTTGTACTGCAGCTTGTATATTTTGAGGACTTCCATATATATTTACATTAAGCAAAAGTAATTCCAGAGTGGAATTGGAGAAAGGTGGTCTGCTATAAAGAATTTCACATGTTTTATCTGTTGCAAAAATAAAATGAATCCATGATGGCAGACACTTCTGGTGTCAAATAGTGTCTTCTGGGCTGTTTAAAGGATAGGTGGATCCTTTTGTGTGTAAAAATGCCGTTTTGAGCACTGGAGGAATATCCTTTAATTACCACAGAGATTAAAAAAATTAATTTGTATATACATTTGTATAAAAATTTAGGATTGGAAAACAGACAATATATCTGTTTGCAATCTTTGCAACAGACTGAAAAATCAAACAATACATCTCAAAGAATAAAAACAGCAACTGTTTTAAATGTGTATTTCCATACTTCTAGGGTGTTCTGCTGTTGTCAGTACTTTTCATGACAAACAGTGCTCTGAGCACACATACAAGTTTGCTTTGCAAGCACTCTGCAAACTTCAGACTTAAAACAGAAAAACTCTTTCAAGTAGAATGTGTGGAAACCTGCGTGCCTGGTAGCTTTGTGGAAGAAACAGGTTCTGTTGGGGGTTTCTTCAGTCAATACAATGTTTTCCTTCTTAGGCATGCTAAAGAAAGGAGCATCATATCAGGCTATGTTAATAAAGAAGCTTATGTTCTTCAAAGCCCTAAGGAGGATAGAAAGTCTAAACATTTAGATCTGCTGAAAAATTCCTGCATTCAGCTTTTTGATCATTCATATTTAGGCCCTATTTTTAGAAATTACTTCATTTTTCTATTTTCTGAGAGGAAACATCACCCAGATTGTATTGAACATTTTTTTGTTTCTCTTTGTTTGATTCTCTATGGCCTTATCAATAATCCTGATGAATTTGTGACCCTAATCTGCATCTGCTCCTTCAGGGAAGAGGCACAGCTCCCTTTGCCTCTGTTAACAAACAGTACCCCTTGTTTGGCCTGGCACCCCGTTTCCTCCTACTCGGTGTCTTTGCCCAGCAAGTGCCCCCCTGGAGTTTCCTCACCTCTTGTGACGTTCCC